CATCATTCTTCCCTGCCTGTGGCAGGGGGTCAGGCTTGATGATCTGTTCAGGTCCCTCCTGACCCTAGCTACTATGAAACTATGAAACCCTGCGCAAAGCAGGAGCAGAAGCCCTCAGGGCATGGACCAGTGCACAGGGCTGGAGAGCTGGTGCACGAAACAGTGCACAGGGAGTCCGGGAGTGGACGGGACCGCGGCAGCTGCATGAGGCAGCGCAGGTCCCCAACCCTGCATGAGACAGGTGCCCTTTCAGTGCATGGGGCAGAGAGCGTGTTTGACGGGCCAGAAGAGCTGCATGAGGCAGCTTGGGCCTTCTCACTGGGGGTGGCATGGGTTGACTATGCCAGGAAGGGGAGGACACCTCACCCCAACACACTGCTGGAGACAAGCCCAACCCTTCAAAAGCCGTGGGAGTTGTGAGTCACATGGGAAGGGGAGTCCCACAGGGAAGGAGGGGGCCCTCCCCACTGGGCTGCTGAGGGGAAGCCCCTGATGCGAGGGGACAGTTCACCCTGGGACATAAAAAGCAATCCAGGGCTCCTGTTTGTTATGGGGGGCGTTCCCTGATTTAGGACTGCCTAGCTGAGAGACCTTGAGAGGGTAATGGTGTTCTATTAGATGACAGGCTCCCTGCTTGGGTTGTTATTTCTTCCTTGGGCACAGGAACTATGTCACTGTTGGGTTGTGTTTCTTTTTCCATGCTGCTGGGATTCTGGTATTACCCTGTGTCTTCACTGTTGCATTAGAAGAGGATTATCAGCTGTCCTGTCTTTGTATATATTGTATTGGTTATTTTATGTATATATGTTCTATTTGATGTAACCTTATTGTGTATGTTATATATTGTTCTGTCACTGTCAGGTATTCCTGCCATTGGGCTGTATTGATTATCTCTAGGTATGTATGTTTTAGCTGATGTAACTTTATTGTGTATGTTTACTTATTGACCCATTACTGCCTGTTATTTTTGTCTTTGGTCTGTTGATTAAAACTCCATTGTATCATTGAGTGGCCTCCTTCCCCTGATTGGGCTGGAGGACCCTGATGAGGGGCAGGGGATGCAAGCTATTCTAACCCAAAAGCCACAGGGAACTAGGCCTGTATTGGCGTTCAGGATTAATTAGAGTTTTGTCTGGGTGAATTTATATCTGTAAATAGCAAGTGGGTGTGTGTATAAATAAAGTGTATGACAGTAAGTTATCTATTATTGTGTAATATTAAACCTGTGCATAGTTAAGCATCACTGTGACTCCTGGTCTACTTAGCTCTGTAGGGAAGGAGGGGAGCTGGCCACAGCTGGGCAGCCATGCTCCCCACAGCATATATACTCCCGCTAACATCCCTTCCATTTGAAGAGGGGGTACCTTCTGCGTACCACCCAGGTTACACAGGTTAGGAAAGAAGCACATTGTTGAAAGGAAGGGAAAAGACTGTGCCCTCATATGCAGTACCTATTCTACAGATTAGTAGATTTTATCCTCTAGAACTGTCCATCAAGACCCTTTAGTGAAATGCAGATATTTCAAATGCATTAAAAAAAATTCAGCTGTCTTATAAATGGATTATTTGAAAATGGTTTTGGGGATAGCCCAAGAAGTATGAGAGAAAGAAAGAAAGATTCTTTGTTTTCCTTTCTAAGGGGAAAATGGTCAACTGCAATCCTGTGGATTTGTGTGCAGGAAGAAAGCAGGTCACTTTACCAATATTATGCCTCAATTCCTCCTGTTTGTTTGATATTTGATTAGAAACCAAGGGCTTTCTTAGCACCAGCTATCTACTTTGAACAGGCTAGTACTGATTTATTTGATCCGTCTCTTGTGCATCATGTGCAAGCTCCGTTATTCTCTGTAAGACATGTAGCATAACTGATGGGTGCACAGCTCTTGATAGGTTCCTTCCTTTGCATGATTTCAATATGCAAATATTACAAGCATACTTGCCATCACAGTAGCTGCATGCACAAATGATTTATGAGTGTGTGTCATTATAAAAGCAGTTATGACTCTCAGCAATTTTAGGCTGGGGACTTGTAGGTTTCCCCTTGCTAGGGTAAAAGTTGGGATGGGCATAAGGCCTAAGGAGGCATTTCTGGGCTAGGTTAGTGAATGGGAAAGGTTTGGGGCTTTCCTTATGTTGATACTGGTAGGACTCAGAGCTAAGTTAGAGTTGTTGGTTGAAATCAGTGTTAAAGTAGGAGCTGTAACAAGCAGTCTCTCCTCTCTATCAGCTGTGAGCTCTGAATGACATACTTCAGGAGCTGAGCTCAAGCCCCATGTACTCAATTTGGAATAATCCTGATGGGAAGGGGGAGTATTCATTTCCAAGTTTCCTCTAGCTTGCTACCAGCCTGTAATTAAATTAAAGCAGTGGTGAGCTGGGTCCAAGGCATTCATCATATCATGAGCTGTGGTCATGACTGCTACCCAACTCAGTGGGAACTGTGGACCTTCATTTAATGTTGTGCTGGGTTCCTGCATGTGGTGATTTTCTTTCTTGTATGCTATAATTCTTTGAGTCAGGGCAGAGGACAAAACCAGTGGTGTTGCGTTGCGTCTTTGAGTGTTCTGTGTGTGAACAGGGAATATATTCTACTGGTTATCTGTCAGCTGCAGAGGTTATTGCTTTTAGGAATTAAATAACCTTAGAGGTTAAGCCTGCATGGCACACACAGCCTTGCAGGAATTAATAGTGATGTTTAACTGCTATTAAAAATAGCTTTTTAAACATTTTTAACTTATGGCCTACATGCAAGTAATTTACTTCACAGGGTAGTACAATGGGAGTCATTTGAAAAGTCAACAGATCACACAACTGCCTCTGTTATTTCCTAGTATAATGTAGAGGCAAATTATGGTTATCTCAGTTACCGCAGCATGGTAACAATTGGCACATGCTGACTCTTTAATAGCCACTTTATTAGCTCCAGTATGTGGAGTCCTTTGCTCTAAAATACATGTGAAAGGCACAGTTCTTAGCAGGTGCCAACTGGTGTACCTCTAGTGAAATCAGTGGAGTTATATTAACTGTTGCTACCTCAGGATCTGTCCCAAAGCTTCTTGCACCTTGAAATACTTTGGTTCAATTCACCAAACTCTGTCTGGCCTAATTCTGATCTTATTTTTTGGAAAACTGATGCATCTTCATTGGTGCAATTCTTTATTTTAACAGGTACCAAGACGTGAGAATAAACTGCACGCACAAATGCCTGGCAATCTAATGCAGTAAGTAGTTTTTCTTCATAAGTTTGATTAATTTCTTCATCTCGCATTATCTTGTTTCCTTTCTTTCACATCAAGCTCTTCCCTTGACCAAACTGGTTTTCTGCATGCTTATTGACCAAAGTGGCTCAAATGTAATACTAAAGCCTTAGAATTACATGACAATTTCTGAATTTGAGCCTTGATCCATCTTCCATTGAAATCTTTCTCATTGATTCACTGGGCTTTGGATCCAGTTCATTCTACAGAACAATTAACCACACTTGTATTAATGATGTCTATATTTTAAAAGTCTACTTGGGAAACACATATTTGCAAGAATGACTGTCTCATTAATAAATAATTGTCTTCCTAAAAGTACAGTAATATAAAAGTGGTTGAATTAAAACATATCATGCTACTATCTAAGTATTATGGATGACCATCATAGGACAATATAAAAACAGATTAATAGACTTTCTTTCCCGTAATCTCCTCAACAACTCTAGGGGATGAATAATCTTTGAAATGAAATACTGGGAACATACACCCATTTTGAACCCAAGTTATGCTCTACTTGTGAAGTTTCTTACAGCCAACAATTTTTATGTTATATTAAGAGAGGGAAGGAAGCATTTCTTTCATATAAATAATTTCAAAACACATGCTCAGTTGTTCCACAGATTCACAAATAACGAAAACTAGTTATATTTCCTTGAATGATAATGACCTAGTGGTACTAATCATTAGATCCATAGTCCTCTTATTCTCATGTTTTGACATTGAATTAACACTTTTATTTAATTATGCTTTCTGCAAGGGGAAAGAAAACCCAAACCAGGTCCTATGATGCATACACTCTCCTACTTCACTGGAGTAGCACTTTTATATTTTTGCATATCTAGCTGAGGACTTCTGTAGCCCCCCCAAAAACCTATCATATCTGAGTACCTCACAGCCTCTGAGTATATTTTTTTTCCTCATAACATTCTGCACAACAGTGAAGATTTATCCCTATTTTACAGATGAGGAAATGAAGCATTGACGGACTGAGTCAAATTTTTAAACGTATTTAGGTACCAAAACATGTGGACAGGAGCCTAGTACGATTTTCAGAAGTGACTCCATTAACATCAGCAGGAGCCAGGTCCCAACACATTTGAAACTCCCATTAATGCCTAGATGCTTTCAGAAATATTGCCAAAGGTCATACACTGAATTTGGTAGGGAACCGAATCTCCAGTTACCACTCTAACCACTGTGCTGTGATGCTCCAGTGTATATATTTGCATGCCTGTATCCATAATAATCTTTCACTCTTATCGGTTCTTTCATTACGTGTAACCAAGCTTTCATGTATAGTCTTCTACATGGAGAAACAGAGCTGCACAGAAGCTCTGTGGTCTGCTTGACCTCACACACTGAACCAGAAGGGTGAGGTAGGGCAGGGACTTGAGCTTAGTAATGTCTAACCACATGCTGTAACCACTAGACATTTTCTTTCACCTCTCTAATTGCTCAAATGCAATGCTGCTTAACCGTTTCCATCCTGGTGCCTAGCCTTAGGATTCCTGTCCCATGCAGCAGAGATCCTCCCATTTATAACATTGTGGAAACAGCAACACCTTAATCTATCAGTTGACCAAAATTCCCTCTTAAACCAGCTCCTGATGGCTGCCTTCAGTGCTTATGGTTTGCACCAGTATAAAGCCCCTGATCCAGCAAAACACATTGAGCATGTGACTGTATTTAAACCCACCAGTGATATAATTGGTTTCAATGGGACAAGTTGAGCTCAGGCACTTTTTTAGTCCCTTGAGGTCTGAGCAAAGAAGAGCAGATCAAACTTTTAGGTGAATAGATGTTATGAAGGACTGCAATGAGAACACACAGGACTGGCAGCATTTTTGTCAGCTTCTTTCTGGCTAAATAACATCTTGCATTTATATGAGATGTTTATTGTTTTTGCTTATTTCCTACAATCTGACTCAAGCCTTTGGAGGTTTGCCTGTCATTACTTTAATCCATTATGTTGTTTACTCTTGTTTAGCAACCCATTGGGGATGTTACAATGTGTATAATGAAGTATCTTTCAGACACTTTTTAAAAGGATTGTTTTCCTCAGATACAGACTGATCCTGGCTTGTGATCCCAGGGACAGGACTGCAGCATCCTTGCAGAGTGCTATCACCTTGTTGCCAAGGGCATTAGGTTCAGACACAGGAGCTGCATTATTGCTGCGATGTCATAACACATCTCTGTGCCATGGTTTCCCCACCTGTGCTATGGGGATATTGATACTTATTGTTTTGTGGTGTGCATTAAGATTGAAAGAGGAATGTGCTGCATGAGAGCTAAGGGCAGAATTCTGTTATCTTTACTGCAACTAAATGGCAGTTTTCTAGCCACGTACGTGGTGTTTTGGGCACTTATACACAGGTTACAATTTTGTCACCCCAAGCAATTACAGCCCATGTGATTCAGTGATACATATTGTGGGAAATGCCATACTATAATTTGTAAGTGGTGTAGATTTGCTTATTCCACTGTATTTCAATGTAGATAGATTGTGTTCATTTTCTACGACTAGCTGTGCAGTCAGAGTAACCATTGAAACACTCCATTTAAACATATATTCAATTAGACTAATGATGTTTTAGAACATCCTAAATAACAACACATTGCAAGGACAGCTGTCCGTATCCTTTATTTAGGTTGCACTCCAAGCTGTTACACATTTTGCTGGCTTATTCATTTCTTATAAATATTAGTGTAAACTCTCTTTACTTCTACATCATATAAACATCGGCAGCTCCTGGTTCATTCTTCCCTCCCTCCCCATCTCGTGACTAACGATTATAAGGAAAAGGAATGCATTGAAACAAGCCTTCAAAGCTGATATATATAACCCCTTTAAGCCCTTCTTTTATACTGCCTAAATGATATAAATGAGCTTTAGAGTAAATAAGTCAAGCCCAAGAATATTCTTCATAATCAAGCCAAGTGAGGGGAAGGACCTCATGTGATATCACAAAAGTGTCCTTAATTGGGAGCACCGAATAGCATTTTAACAATGCCAGGTCATTAGTCCTGTGTGGGATTCAAGTGAATCAAAAGCGTTATTACAGGCTAAGCAAAGGAGCACGCTGAGGCCTTTGCTATAAAAGTGTTCTCAGACATAAATCTTGTTTCAAGTTCGGTGTTACTGACAAACATGAAGGAAAAGGTGTGGCAGAGATTTTATTCCTTAAAGCACGTGAGAGATGCCTCTTCCTGAGTGAGACTGTAAACACAATTAAGGGAAAATGTCTCTTTCCCAGTACATGAGCCTCCAGGTAGTGTTGCCCTCTGAGAAATGATCTCTCAGGGTTAAAGTCACCAAGGAGCCCGTATAATTTCTCCCCAAATGCCCATCAACTTTTAATTTTCATAACTGCAGCTTCCACTTGCCACTAAACCTTTTGAGGATCTTGTGTTCAATGCAGAAATCCACTAATGTTCAGCTTGTTAGGATATGAGACCCCTCATTAATTCAGAGTATTAAATGAAACAGTTGAGTTAGTAACCAAATCGACAAAGAACCAGCTGACTCTCTGTATGATTAGGGACTTTGTCATCTCGTTCATGGATTAATTATATGGTCCATTATACTGAAATGTGTTCTTGATATCAAGACTAGTTTTGTTCTTAGGGTTTTGTACTTACCATCTGGTATAATGTTCCTTATCTCTTTTTGAATAAGTATCAAATTACGGATTTCTTAACTTGTAGGACAAATTTAGGAAGCTTTTAAAATATATATATATATATCAGCTAGCTTTGAATATGCTACATTAAAATGTATATTCCGTGGCATAGAGCACAGTGATCAATCTACAAAGCAGTAATGAAATGGGAGCACACTGGACCCCAGAAAGTTAGGCTGAGTACAATCCATATTCTTCTTACTGTATTAAGGTAATATAAAAGACCCTGGAAATTTTGGGTTTAGTGTTGCACCTATCTCCTAAGAGCAGAACTGTTTCCATAAAAAAGCTATGGATTGAAAGCAACCGTTAATTATTATGCAACTATTTATAAACCAATCATATAGTTATGCAGAACATAATCCCAAATCATATGTATTTGGATTGTAGACTCTTGAGCTGAGATAAAAGCTGGCTCCATTCTACTTAGCAATTTACACATGTGGCAAAAAACAGCTCCCGTAGAGCAAGCAGATGAGGTGAAAATTGGAAGACACAGAGTATCAACCTGCCCATTTTACAGATGTGGGATTATGGCAGAGGAAGTCTGTGGCATATCTGGTTGTTAAACCAAGGGTGAAATTCATCCTCTGGGACTGAAGTGATGACTCTCTGCACAGAGATAAATTTCATGCTAAGAGAATGATTTGTGTATGAGAAAGCATGGAAGTGTATTTCACAGCTCACTGCATGGCACAGAAAGTTTGAAAAGCAAAATCAGGGGTGATGGTAT